TAAGTGAATGCCCACGGTGCCACAGCTGATAAAAATCAACAAAATCAGCTGTTGCAAAGCAAAGCAAGTATTTGCCTCACATTTCATGGCGCTTCAGATATGCCTCTTTGTACTCCTTTCTCGTGTTGTCCTTTAATATATGAACCCGCAAATACTACATACATTATATCAGCCCCGATTCAAAACACGTACAATGACATATTTAAAGAGTACTTTAATGGAAAGGTTTTTTTAAAATCAGTTTGAACTGTCAGCAATTCTTCAGTAGAGTGGTAGTTCGGGCAATGAGACCTATACACACAAACTCACGGGAAAACGCTCTCTTGGAGGAGGACCTCAGATTTAGCAACATAAACCCAATTTAACAATGTTATTTATTAGCATTCCTGCCTGCTCTGTTCTCAGCTATGTTAACGCAAATCCTCAACAGCTCGGTAAAAAATAGTAAAGATAGGGGTTTTTTTTAGATTTCCATCAGCGCGACAAAGCACTATTCAGTTTTAAGACATTGCAACATATGAAAGTTAAAAAGGGCTTTCAGAACAGCAGCGAACGAAAGCTAGCCAGTAAAATAAGCAGAATGTTTCTATGCTTTGTACAGCAGTCTTGCTTTTCTTTGGCTTTGAACAAGTTGGTTGGTTTTTTGGTTGGGTTTGGTTTTTTTTTTTAATGGCGGTAAGTAACTTTGTATTCTCAGTGAAGTCAGCTCGCCACTCTGTTTTACAGTCTCCCTGGGAAAAATGGGGCAATATCCTTGCAATTCTAAAATGGAAAGAGACTGAGCCCGCTCACTTAAAGTTTTTGCTAATCCTTTACTATTTTATCTTCTCTAGAAGACCGATTTTCTATCTGTTATTGTTATGCACACAAGGAATGCCATGTCTACACAAGACAGTTTATCAGCGTAAGTATCAATTTGTTTGGTCGGTCTTATGCCGGAAAAGGACAGCTTCGTTTCATTTAAACCCTTCTCACACCAAACAAATTAGAAATACGTATTGTTACGGGCATGTTGAGTTATACTGGGATGGTTTTGCTGATGAATTTCTTCTTGTTGACAAATCCTAATTGCTTCTAGGATTTTAACCATCCAGGTCACACTTTTCATTACACGTAGCATGTTGGGTCAACAAACCCGCCACGTGGAAGCTGTTCTCTCATGTTCTTCCTCAGCATTTGGGCCGCCTGACGCGCAACACTTCTTAAGCCTGCGCTGTTCGTAACAGCTCATTTTCAAGCAGTCGGAAGTTTCAGCTCTTCTTGAGATGCAGCTGTCGTCTTATCCTCACAGCGTGTTTCTCATAAATAAATGCTGAAGCTCTGTGCAGGCTTTTTTATCCTATTACAGAGCAAGACGCCGCGGTGTTCCTAGAGGAAGCCTTCCACCCTGTCCTAACACAAACTCAAAACAGCCCGCAAGAACTTAGCTCGAGGAGGAATTGCTTGAAGGTCAGTTGGAGCTAACCCTTCCATCGCTATATACAACCGAAGCTGTAGCCCACAGCTACGTAAGTCGTATTGCGCCTTCGGCGAAGCCAAGCTGAGATAAAGGACCTGCCTCGCGCCAGCAGCGAGAGGACGGAATGGCGGCCAGCACACGTGCCTACCTCGTGAGTGCGGAAAACCGTTGCGGGGATATTTTACTTTTCTGCCATCTCGGCAACGTTGTACGTGGCAGTCTGTGCACTGAACTGGGAGTACAGGTCTCTAGCCATCAACCATTCGGTTTGTCCGGGAATTAGATGTCGCAGCAAAAAAAAACCCTTAGTCTATTTTGTGTAAATACTGAGGTTTTTAAAAAAGGAACTGGAATTCCCGCCGAAAAACCGCAAAAAAACCT